AAAAATATCTTGATTATCCCCAAGACTTTTGGGCAAATATTCTGTGGACTGATGAGACAAAAATTGAACTTTTTGGAAGGTGTGTGTCCCATTACATCTGGCATAAAACCAGCACAGCATTTCATAAAAAGAACGTCATACCAACAGTCAAACATGGTGGTGGTAGTGTGATGATCTGGGGCTGCTTTGCAGCTTCAGGACCTGGATGAATTGCCATAATTGATGAAACCATGAATTCTGCTCTCTATCAGAAAATCCTGAAGGAGAATGTCCGGCTGTCAGTTTGTGACCTCAAGTTCAAGCGCACTTGGGTTATGCAGCAGGACAATGATCCCAAACACACCAGCAAGTCCACCTCTGAATGGCTCAAGAAAAACAAAATGAAGGTTTCGGAGTGGCCAAGTCAAAGTCCGGACTTGAATCCGATTGAGATGCTGTGGCATGACCTTTAACGGTCCATTCATGCTCGAAAGCCCTCCAATGTGGCTGAATTAAAACAATTCTGCAAAGAAGAGTGGGCCAGAATTCCTCTACAGTGATGTGAAAGACTCATTGCCAGTTATCGCAAACGCTTGATTGCAGTTGTTGCTGCAAAGGGTAGCACAACCACTTATTAGATTTAGCGGGCAATTACTTTTTCACGTAAGGCCAGGCAGGTTTTGACAGCTTTTTTCCCTTAATAAATGAAATCATTATTTCAAAAACTGCATTTTGTATTTACTTGCATTATCTTTGTGTAATATTAAAATCTGTTTGATCTGAATCATTTAAGTGTGACAAATATGCAAAAAAAAAACAGAAAGGGGTAAAAACCTTTTACATGGCACTGTATAGTTTGTTAATACGGTGAATTAGTGTTTTATTTTTCTATTTTTGTTTTGATTTTAATTTCAGTTAAAGTTTTAGTAATTTTTTTTATTTAAATGTCTAAAGTTATTATTATTATTATTATTATTATTATTATTATTATTATTAGTTATTTACTTAAACTAATCAAATGAGAAATCAGAATTGGAATTTTACTTGGAATTTTAATTTCAATTTTAATTACAATTGTATAGTGTGTGTATATAATATAGCTTTTCATGCTGAACCAGTAAACTCATTAGTAGTTGCTTTCACAGCCTCGTTGCGTTTATAACCAACTTATGCAAACAAATATAACTCAATCTTTCATAGATTTTATTTTATTTTTTTATTTTTTCTTAAATTGAAAGAGCGACTTCATGCTTCAGAAGAAGCTTCATGTGACCATGATGTAGTTTCATTTATAGTGTAACTTTTTTTTTTTACTTTTACTTTGTGAAGGTTATCTTGTAAAGCAAACCATGCATGAATCATAATTTTGTCAGTCACAGAACTCATTTTCTGCAATAATTCAAAAGCCAATGGAAAAATCCTACGGTGTTTTTGAGGGAATCAGAGTGATGTGAACTTACAGGTTGGTTTACAAAAACACATCATCCCTCCAGCGCTCCGGTAATCGTTGTTTATTTCACAAAAGCTCGTATGGAATGCAAGTGCAGAAAACTGCTGGCGATGACACAAACTAGATTTGCACACTGTGCTACTAATCCAAATAAAGCTCAGTCTCTCTACAGATTTACATTAGCGCTCATGCCAGCATTGCATGGCCTTTCTCTCGGACATTAGGCATGTCCGGCCAGCATCATTAGCCTCATTGGCACTGCCAGTGAACTAACACGGCAAAAGTCAACACGCCATCTGCCACCTAGAAAGACAGCTAAAAAAGTGGGTAAAGAGGAAATGTGAATCCAGTAGTGCAGGATACACATTCTACAAAACAAATACTCTTACATGCAGGGCCGTTTCTAGGCATAGGCGAGCTAGGCGGTCGCCTAGGGCGCCACCAGCTGAAGGAGTGCCAATGAGCGCACATACTGGCACTTGTAGCAGGGTTGACACAAAGAGTGGCATGGTCACCCTGAAATATGACTGCTGCCCCCACTGGATCCCCCAACATTATTGGGCTAGAGTACTGTCAATCTGACGATGCCTGTATGCCACTAGATCAGAGTGCTGTCAATTGCTGCCTGCTTGTTGCATGCAAAGTTTGCATTTGGAGCGCTCAACAACGCCATTAGATCGGTGGGCTCTGTCAGTGCTTTGGCAAGGTAACACTTTTTTTTGCCATGCAATAAAGCTAAGTTCAAAGGCCAATTTAAAATATTGGTACAGTAAATAAAGTGCACAAAATCAGTATTTTGTTTAGGCAGTATTTGTGGCACTTTTGTGGCACATTTGTCCAAATATTTGTGGCAGATTTGTCCAAAAGGTGTGCGTTTTTTGCGCCAATGCATTATTAAAGGATCATGTAATATTCCCATATAAACTTTAACATCCAATTAAAAAATATTTGTATAGTAAAATTCGCTAATTCACGAGATCAATACATCCTTTATTAGACCGCTTTGTCGAGTTAAATGCATTCTTACGGAGGTGTCGAAATGCTGAATCAATTCATTCACTTCCAACAGCGCTTAATGGGAGCAGCACCATAGAGGGCAGAGCGTCATGTTATTTAAAGGGGACGTTAACCCGTTAACGAGTAGCAAATGATTACGTAGCTGCATTGGTTACTTTTATGCCACTGATAAAGCTTTTATATGTAGTTTGGGGTAACAAAGGGTGTGTTGACCTCACCTTCATTCGAGTAAATATTAAAACTCCCACTATACTCCACACAGGACGAGCGGTTTGGAAAATGAATGGATGGAAAAATTTGAAACTAACATGCCAGCACAACTTAGCACATCTTTCACAAACTAAACCAACCTTGACTGAACTCTTGAAGAGCACCTTTGCTTACGCCCCAGGCAACAGAAGCAACCCACACAACAAGATTTCTTACACTCCTGCTGCATGATCACACTCCTGAAACATATGATTATTCAGAACAATGTCACACTCAACAGGAGAGAGAGAAATCTTTTAACATTGCAACTTCTGTCCAACATGACTATGAAATTTAAACGGAAAGCAAACAGAAATGTTTGCTTATGTTTCCTAGGTGTCATGCAAAAAGGAAAAGAAAAAATACTCAAATGTGTCTCCTCTAGAGTTAAGTTTATAACTCTATAATCTTACTGTATGTCAGCTCATTTGTGTCTGCATTTCTCTAAAGGCATTTTATAAGAAACATCAGAGAGATGGTGATCTTTAAATTAAACATAGGCTACTTAAAATCTCCATTAAGACCTCCTGAGCAGATCTCTGAAAGAGCAACCTTTGAGCAATAAAATCCTCCTCTGGAGATGAACATTCATATTCTTACTGAAACAAAAGAGCCAAAAACATATTTTAATGCAAACATGCAAACACAACTGTTGCACATACTGTGTCTGTGTTATTTCATTGTCCTTGAGATGCCATTATAGTTTTAATAAATATTTTGAATTGTTTTTTATTTTTATATTTTACATTATTATTTTTATTTTATTATTACGTTTTAGTGACTTTGTTTTATTTAATTTATTTAGGAATATATATGAAAATTATTTCAGTGAACGTTTAATTCTTTAGGTTTAAAATGTTTTTGTATTGTTTTAGTTTTTGTTTTAAGTTAGTTATATACGATATCCCTTGTACGTGCCATTAATAACTATTATTTAATTTCACTAAAACTAAAGCTTTGCTAAAACATTTTTATAGTTTAATAAAATTATTAAATCATTGTTAAAACTGAAATAAAGCTAAAATATTAGAGTACAAATTTGACTAAAAACCTAAATGAAAATTAGAAACGTTATATGAGCAACTGGACTATATAAATAAAAAAAAAAATACAATAAAAAAATAAAAATTACAAAAGCACATATCAAAAGTGCAAATAAAAATCTCAAATGGGGTAACATTTAAAAGGTTTCATAACCTTTTAAGTGTTTAAGGTTTGTTAACATACAGCATTAACATCTTAGTTAAGGTTAATATTAATATTTACTAACAGATTTTTAAAATCAGTTGAATCTATTAATATTAATGCACTCTGCACTAACATAAAATATATTGCTCATTGCCCCTGTTATTTAATGCAACTAATGTTATCAAATGAGACCCTATTGCAAAATATTGGCATAAATACTATAAAAGCATATAAATAATCCCATATTAACATTAAGTAACTAGCTGCAAATGTCACAAAGCTTGCACAGCTAAAAGCATCAGCATTTGTGCGTATGTTACGGGCCTCAAAACATGGATCTCTAAACCAAGATTCACCAACTTTGCCTTTCTTTCAGCACATTTCTAACGCTCAGTCAGAACTGAACGGCATCTGAGGACGAGCAAGAGCCAGTGGGAGTACAGTGACAGTTTAACCTTCCAGCTGAGACGCTGCCTCCAAAACAATCAGCTCAGTACCGCACATCACACACACACACACACACACGAGAGAGAGAGCCAGGTAATAACGACAAGCGTGCCGTCGCTGTATTTGCGGTGGATCACGCTCGACTGACTCTTTATGTGCTCAGATGCTCATCAGATTCTTCCTCTTCCTCTACAACTTTCAAGGGCACAGATTCGTCCGGGCGGCAGATCTGAATTTTCATAAAGATTATACGACACTGCTGCTGATCATGGGTGTGAGCCAATATTGAGGCTGTGAAATTTGGACGACAGATTGAGGCCTTTTACAAGGATGTAACTTCTACTGTATTAACGGGTTGGGACGTCATAATTATGACAGATGCGTTCAATACATAGATCGGAGCAAGACGGAGATTTTTATTAGGGTGACCATATTTTAGTTTTCAAAAGTGTGTGGGCGTTGGGGGGTTAAAGTAGTACCCAAAGTAGCGCAATGACCATATCCCAAATATCAAAACTCTAAATATGTAATTTCCATTCCTAAAGTACATTAATTATAGAATACTATTGTATGTTGCACATGCAACTTAAAAATAACAATAATCATTAAAATATATTATTCAAATACATTATTAATTGTACAGTACTATCTTAAACTTAAGAATAATAATAAACTTAAAATAATAATAAAGCTATTATTATTATTATTATTGATCAATACTACCACCAATATAAATTAATCAATATTACCATCAATACATCCACTGCGTCTGACATGTTTTCTCACTTACAAACAACTCTGAAACTTAAAGTTAAAAGTAAAAAAAAAATATATGTTTCCCACTCATAATAACGACTTTGTGGTGGTGTACATGTGCATTCAACTCTTAAATATGATACATACAACATACATAACATACACGCAATCTCAGATTGCAAAATAACAAAACCCATGACGTTAAGAAAAAACACAAGCTCAAAGACACCTATATTAATAAGCAGACAAGGCAACACTTCAGACACGGTTAGTGAATGCGACATTATCGTCAACTATACAATAGGCTTTATCGAGACATTATTGAGAACAATTTTGCTGAAGGTAACAAAGTCTTTCTTGCTATGCTCTTTTCAGCCAATTTCTTGCCAAAGTGCAAATCACAAACAGACACTTCTAATGTTCCCTGCTGTATTATAGTGAGAGACAGCCAATTATATCCACAGAAAAATACATTCAAGAGGAGAAGGAGTTCAAAGCCACTTTTATGTGAGAGCATTTTGGTGGTTGTATTATTGCAAGGTAATTTCAAAAATGAAAGGAATATTCACATTTTAATACATGTTAAAGTTAGTGTAAATACCAATAAATAAATTAATAAAAACACACTCAGATGTAAAAACAAGTTAACAGTTTCTGTGTTGTGCTTATTGTTGTCTATTGGGTAATTTTAGATTTCCTGGTTCCATATTCAAAAGTATTTTCTGAGGAATTCTCTTTAACTTGTATATAACCCAGAATATTACTCTAATGCTCAGAAAGAGCTGAGTGCAAGTCAAAATAGTCTTTGGTGAGTAATTAAAATGGAGATGGTAACTATGAGGCATTGCATTATACTATTTAAACAGCATCATAGGAACAATAGTTTGACCCTCATTAACACCAGCAAATTGAATCAAAGAGATACAAACAGTCAACTAAAGAGCAGTTCAGTGACTGCCAGCGACACAACGGCAAGGGCTGTTTGACATGCATATGCAATGAAAACAGCTAAAATAAAATAAAATAAAATAAAATAAAATAAAATAAAATAAAATAAAATAAAATAAAATAAAATTTAACTTTTTTACTAATTTTCTATTTTCTTTTGTGCCTACTTTTACAAGCCAGTGTGTTTCTGCTATTCCCCGCTGTGCTCACTTTTGAACTTTGTGGCTGTTTTGTATGTGTAATGGGGCCCGTTGCTTCACTTTACATCTGTGCACTTTCAAAGGCTCTTTCCGCTCAGGAAGGACACACAGCTGGCTGGATTTTAAAATGAAAAGCCGAGGAGAAAGACAGTCCCAGCGAGGCTGGTCCAGTGTCACTTATTGTAAAGTCAAAAGGCCCTTCTTAACAGTCAGGTAGGACAGGCGGAAAAAGTCACCCCAAGCGTCCTCGGCGAACCGGCTATCTGCGGCCGTGAAGGTGAAGGGCCGTGTTTTATCTTTTATCATTCCTACCCATCAGATCCTCCCGCACCTCCATGTGACTGCTTCAGACGATTGCTTTTTTGATGAACCCCGACATACGCTGGCTGACTAAAAGGAAAATACCAGAGCCGTGCACCGGGCATCTGTCTACCTGATCTCCGGCGGTCCCCTTCACCCCCGGGCCAACTCCTCAGGCTCAGGCCGGAGTGTCATACGGTGTTAGATTTACACCCTTGGGCCACCCGCCTGCTCGCTGATGAAAGGTGCCGCACTTGACAGAGTCTGCACTTCAGCCGCGTCTCAAATGTCAGGGGTCGTCAGGGACACGGCGGGCGGCAGGAACGCACCCACATAATGTCACAACACGGCCTCTGACAGCTTTGATGCTCAATTACCACACTGAGAACACCAACCACACACATGCACACAGACGTACTAAATACAGACGCAGGGTTATTATAGCTAACTAAAACTAAAACCATAAAAAAAAAACTATTTTCATAAATACATAAATAAAATCTAATAAATCTTATTAGAAAAATGTTTAGTTTAACTTGTAGTAAAATAAATAAAACTGAAATACAAATTAATAAAAATATTGACAAAAATAATACAAAGTACAAAAACACAAAAAATTACTAAAACTTAAACTAAAATTAAAATTAAAATAGAATACAACACTTATTCAAAAGATTAATAAAACTATAACAGTATCTTTATAATCATAAAATAATCCTGCCAAGACCAGCAAAAAATAGCATTTAGTTACATCATTTCAGGTAAATTATACTATCGTAGGTAAGTAAGTAAATAAATAAAAACACAAATACATAAATGAATGAATGAATGAATGAATGAATGAATGAATGAATGAATGAATGAATGAATGAATGAATATTAACAGAATAAATTTTGGTTTTTTTTCCTCAGCCAGTTGGCAACATTTCTCACTTAAATTTAGTTTAACTTTGTGTATAAATAACTAAAACTGATATAAAATGTAATTAAAATACAGACATAAAAAAAACATATTCAATATATTGAAAAAAACATATTCAATATAATAAAAAAAAATATTCAAAATATTAATAGAAACTATAAAAGTATCTCAATGATACTAAATTAACACTCAAAACATCATTATGACAGAATGAGGTGTTTTTATGCAACTAAAGAAGTAATACATTTGTTGAAATAAGTGGGGGGGGGATAATAATAATAATAAAATACAATTTTAACTTTATTAATATTATTATTTCAGCTAGTTGACAAGGAAACATTTCTAATTTTTTTAAACATTAAATTATGTTTTAATGTTTAAAAACGTTAAAAACTTAAGATAAAAATATGTTAAAAGAAAACGTCTCAGGTTACTTATG